AAAAATGCAGTAGAACATTTCGTTATTCTTCTTTAGATGGAATTGCAACGCCTTGCTCTTTTTCCCTAGGTAAAGTCTTGACATTATGTTTTTCTTACTCAGCTGAAGGTGACACGTTCTGTTCTTCACCCTTATCTTTTCTTCTTCGTGTCAGAAAACACAAAACTAACAAGCATAATAAAGGCATCAAAGGAATCAACCAAAGTAGTTGCAGGTAATTGGTTTTTTGCCTCTTTGTTTTCCGTGGGGGAGGCCCACTATCTATACTACCTCCACTGCCTTCTTTCAGGCAAAAAGGAGGATCCCATTCATAGTTGCAATGGCAGTGCTGTCTGTTGTTGCAGACTCCTTTCATACTGCACGTCTCAGGTGAGCAATAATTTACCAGAAGTGACCTATGGACACACTTCCTTGTGATGCAGACATGTTCTGCCCCACACTCTGTCCCATCTTTCACATCACCAATATCAGGATCATCTTTCACATCACCAATGTCAGGTATGGTCATCCCGAAGTGGTAGTCGGTACCCCAGCAGGTGGCGCCATTGAACTGAGTCCAATGCACAGTAGAATGATTTCTCAGAAGGGGAAGTTCTGTCACATTGTCACACTGAATCCTCCCGCACAAGGTATCTGAGATGTCACATTTTACATATGTAGAGTGCTTGAAACCACAGTTCCCAAAACGGTCACCTTGAGTGTTCATTTCTATGTAGCAACTCTGATTTGCACTCTTGGCCTCTTTGCCAAAAATGTTCCTACACTGCTCTTCACGGTTATTGCATCTCTTTTCATAGCAGTAGCCACCGCCCTTGCATGGCATCCCATTCTGCACATACACATCCTCTGGACAATGGTAGGATGTCCCATTGCACCACTCTGGGAGATCACAGTCATTTTCCTCTTGTCTACAAACTCTGCCTGTGGGCAGGATCTGACAGTCTTTGCAACAAAGGCCAGAAGCACAAGCAGCCCCAGCGCTGAGAGTGCAGTCGGACTCACAGCACGGATCTTTCATACACAAATGTAAAGCACCACAGTCACACTCTTCTCCTTCTTCAACCACACTGTTCCCACACCGTGCAAGTGTGAAGATGTTTCCTGTATTTGATGAAATGTACAAACAATTTTTCCTTGCTAGGGTGTTCATCATGTTCATGAAGTCAGCATAGCTGCAGTTGCTGAATCTAGTTGCACTGTCTTTTTCTGGAAACATTATGCAGGTTTTATGTCCACATGTACAAGTTGGTCCATCATGATCCATACCCAAATTATGACCAATCTCATGTGACACAATGAATGCAAAATCATACACGTCATCGTTCATGAAACTATCAACTCCACAACTAACATGGCTTTTACATACGGTACTAAGATAGGCTAAGCCAACACTAATGCCATAATCACGCTTTACAAAAAGATGTGCAACATCATGGGGAATGCGATCACTGAAGCCAGTTCTCTTCCATTTGCAAAATCCCTCTAGGAGAATCAATATGGTATCTATTGGAATTGGATTTTTTTCAGTCCAGATCTCCATTCCCATTAAAACCACATCAACATCCAGTGAACTCAAAAAGTTATCAATTCCATTGACTACAAGTAATACTTCATACTGCACAGCTGTGGTGTTACTTTGGTGATGAAGATAGCGATTGTGGTCCACCACCACTGCCAGTTCGAGAAGCCGCCTATGAGTCCACCAGCCTTCATACCCACTCTGCATCAAAGTGAAATTAGCACTCTCCTGAAAGTTCAGTTGTCTTGCTATTTCTTCATCTGTTAATCCACATCTCATGGGTGGCAATTGTGTCTCTTCACTCTTTCTCCTATATAAGAGATGTTCAAATGTGGTAGAAAGTCTCTTGGGCTCTATTTCATAAACAATGTCATTTGTCTGTAATATGCCCTGAA